AAAAAAAAAAAAAAAAATGAAAGATCATGTGTCTTACCTTTATCAGTTCATTCATTTGATTTAGTAACTTATATTCATTCTTTAATGAACAATTAACAACACATCAAACACTTCTGTAACTATGGCTGAAGTCATGGAGCATTAAAATCAGATGAAGGCATCCAACATTGCAGAAAAAAATCAACTGCCTCATTAAAATTCTCATTTAGTGCATAATGTAGATGTCAGCTTTATGCCACATCAAACTTTTAAAGCCTATACAAACAGTTAAAAGTGAGCAGATTTCTTACAGATTCATAAAAACACTGTAAGACTGACCTATAAGTTATGAGGCTGAGGTAGGTTAACATCATCAAGGGAGCTCCAGTATTGGGGTAGCATGATATTTACAGAAGAAGGCAAGATACTACGAGCTGTTTCACCATGGTGAAATTGATTTCCTGCATCATTCTCTTCCCCTACATGAGAAGAAGAAGAGAGGTAAAAAAACTAGCTACTGATAATTTCATTTCAACACGGCAGCAAGAGCTTACTCGATCTTTTCAACCTTTTGTCTGAATTAGCATCAGCTAAACATTGTTACCTGAAAAAGTTGTCAATGCTCTTTTCAGCAGTTTCTAAAGCATTTAATAAAATTTTTCTTGCACCTGCATACTGCTGGCTTCTCGTAGCAAGTTCGTAGCAGTATCGACTGACACGATTCAGATAAATGGATTCAGGCTCCATATGGCCCTGCTGAGAAGTCCCATTTTGCCCAGAACTATATATCCGTTTCCTCGCTTCTTTGGTCCATCTTTTCACAATATATTTATCTGGTAACCTAGCAATGTTCTTCAAACTAAATGCTCTTAAAGCATGGGAACACAAAATCCCCATTGATTGAAACTTCTTACAAGAGCACTCTACCTCCATGGATAATGTGTCAAGATTCACAATCCATTCCTTTAGACCCTCATCATCATGCATCTTCATTTTGAATTGGTACAAGGTGCCTCCACATGGAAACTCTTTAAAAAGGAGTCCACCACCAACCCCATCAAGAAACTCCCTCTCAAATAACTTGTACATTTTGTGTGTATAAACTTGTGCAGCATGCCTCAAAAAAGGACTTTGCTTTATTGCACGCGGGGGCATGCTTTGATTGCAATTGAAATCTTCGTTAGCTTCGTTTTGGCGCCAACCATGCAGCAACTTCTCAATTTGAAGGAAACATTTTGTGAGAGAGCTCGTGTTAGGTACAACATTCAATACATTGTTATTGATCCCGGTCCGCTGCGTCGATTTGATTCCCAAATCAAAGACATCTTTATTGAATGCATTAGACCATTTTCGACGGCTTTCGTACAAGTATTTGAGCCATTCATGGCTTTCGAGGTTGCCTTTAACCAGCATGTTCCGCCATGTTTCTTCAAATTCAATCTCTGAATCACATTCTTGCATACATTTATTAAAAAGGCCCTTGAGTTCTTTGTCAGAATTAAAATTATGCACGCGAGAAGGCACATTTTTTGAGATGTGCCACCCGCAAAAATGATGATGTGTTGTAGAAAATACCATCTCTGTCGCCTTATCCATTGCTTCATCTTGATTTGTAAATATTGTGATAGGTAGCTTGTCACTCATTGACTTCAAAAATGCACTAAAAAGCCACACAAAGGATTCTGTCATCTCATCCATTAAAAAAGCAGCCCCAAACATGATGGTCTGCCCATGGTTATTAATCCCTAGAAATGGTGAGCATATGTACTTATTCAATCTGTGAGTTGTATCGAAGATCAGAACATCACCAAAACAGTCATAATCTATTCTAGACCTACCATCTCTCCAAAAAAAGTTAGTTAGCTTACCCTCTTTATCAAGTTGTATATCCCAAAAAAACATGGCATCTTGTGCAGCTCTTTCCTTAAATAGATTTACCAAGCTTTGTGAGTCTCCAGGCTCAATCTCCATCAACCTTCGAGAGTTTATAAGCTCCTGCCCTTCCTTCCTCGAAAGCTTAACATTTTCGATACGGATACCTTCGTCAAAAAGATAAGCACTTACTTTTGTTGTCTTTATTCCAGCATCCAGCAAAGTTCTGAACACACTACTCATCTTTGCAGATGTAACTGAACGTGCCGATCTCAGCAAATGTCTTTCTTCAGGCTTAGCCAGTTCATGATTATGCTCCGCAACCAAACGAGAGACTCTCCACTTTCCATTCTCATCAACCTCGAATTTAACCATGGCCTTGCACCCAGTCCTACTCTCAAGTTTACTGTGAGTAGCTTCAGGCTCATCTTCCTTGAAACCAGCCTTTGAGCAAAGGAATTCCTTTGCTTTGATATTTTTTGTTCCCAGAAAGTAAGCATTCTTTCCCTTTCGAACGCTGAATCCAACATAATGAGCATAATCACAATAAATCTTATAAGCTTCCTTTTCACCATCAACAATCTGTCCTAATAGATCCTTCTTCCCTTCCTCAAGGCGCAGAAACTCCTCACAAGTTAGCACTTCAGTTTCACTGCCCTTTTCTAGATCAATGTCTGACCTTCCAGCAGCAGGGATGATTGAATTCTCCAATCCTGGGCTTGATCCAGACTGCTCAGAACCATCCATTTTACACTGAATCAGACCTGCTTCATTAATTCTGCCAGGCCTTCGAATTGGATCTGCCAAGTCAAAATGCCAACATGGAGCATCACAAGTCAGCATTCATAGTTGTAGATATAAATATGCACGAAATTTGATGTCGCAAATTTGACTCCATCGAGTAGATTTTGAGCTCTATCATGAAGGTAAAATCCATTCTGAGATGACATCAAGATTGACTTGACATGAATATACAAAT